AGCCGCAGACGGCGGGGGACGAGCGAACGAGTCATGCGATACCGCCGACACAACATAATAGGAGCGGACACAAGGAAAACCGGCGCCGTGTCGGCACATCAGTGGGGTGAGACGGGCCGCCCCGCGGGCTATCTGAGCCCCTCCGCGGGCAGCAGAGCCGATAGTGGGAGCCTGCCTGACACGGGCTATCGCACTTCCCACGCGACCGGCCGACGGGAGGGCAGGCGGTGGGGTCACCCGTGCCCAGTGGTATCGGCATTCGGCAAACTGTCGTTCCACAAGATTGAAACTTCAGCCAAGAATCCCTTCCCAGTGGGAAAAGCGCAGAATGTAGCATACCGTACTAATCGGGATATAATGGCGCATTCATACTGCCAACTCTAAACCCGCTGGCTTCGTGAAGTTCATAATAAATCTCACGTAACTCTTATAACTCATAAATAGGTCCCGAATACCGTTGTGTAGGCGGTCCCCACGACCATCGCATCAAACATGCACGGAAGGAGATTAGGCTCGAGGCGAAGGTCAAGAAGGCTTCCTTGTTCGTGAACTTCAAATGAGTCAGTCTTTGTCGGACAGCTGAAAAGTTAACCCATACAGAAAACTTGGCGAATTATTCGCAAAGCTACAGCTCGCATGGGAAATAGTTGAAATGCAGTCCGGCAAAGTTTAGGCAAGTTGCGGAATGCCGTCCGAGCCGAGACAAGCCCACGGCAAACATAATGGCCCAGGAGACTGCCTAGTCATGGTGACCTCGTTAAAGGTAGTGTGCCAGCTTTCTTGGACCATATGGAGTTAATGACCCGGATAAGGAGAACCGGATTTTTAGAACTTATCCATACCTTCAAAACTTATGGAAACGTCTTAAATTCTTCAAATTTTGAGTACCCCAGTGCGAAATTCGCCCCGACGGGTTGTCGGTCGTACCCCAACCACATTTCACACCACTATGAACAATAAATGCACACACTAAAATCGCTATTACCGATAGGCTCATCCAATCAAGTTTCGATAAACCCGTTCATCATCATCTCCTGCGGTTTCGAACACGCCTGTTAGGTGGCTTCTGATGCTCGTCGAGGTCGGAATTTCCAAATACGCGTGGTGCGTCGGGCCGCGCGCTCTGACTTCGGCCAAGAAAAATGCGTCAGCTGATCATTGTCATTTCTGCCACTTGCGTGTGGTGTAATGGGGTCATAACTTAAGAGACGGCTGTTTCGTATCAATTATTTTACATAAAATCATATTTCAAACCACAAATTAATGTTCGACAGCCAAATTTAAGAAACAATACCAATACAGGCTTACAGTTTAAGGCTCGACATTGTGTTGTCTACGATTAGACAGCTGATAACTCATTCCCGTACGTCGTATGGTCGTAACACTATAATGACCTTTGCTTATTGTCACAAGTGCGCCGCATTCGCGATTGTTGCCCGACGCCTGTTTGCAGGTGAACCTACTACAGTTGTTATACATATCTAAAAACCGATAAACTTTTAGGCGAAAAAGGCACTATTCCAGGCCCATTTTTGATTTTTTTTTGCGATATTAGGTAAAAACAGAAGCTTCTTATCCTAGGAAAAATAAAACGGGAAATCTTTCAAAGGTGGCACACTACCTTTAAATCTTACTGCAGCACATGAGAGTCGTCTCCCAACCGGAGCTTAGAGTGGCATGGTGACAAGTGATGTGATAAACGCCATGGCAGGGAACCCCCGCTCTACCCCCGCGGCAGAACACTGAGCTGACCCTGTGATCTCCGCTCCCCTCCCTAGCGAGCTCATCAAGGCACAGAGAGCGAGCGGTAGAGGCGACGTCTGGTCCCTGTCACGGTCAGACTGATCATCGGGGCTTCCCGGTCGCCCCTCCCCCCGCACCGACCATCTGGCAGAGTGCCGGCCGCACACCGCGGGGGCGAGGTCGGTGGCCGGTGTCCGGGGGCGGGGGCGGGGGCGGGGGCGGCGTGAGTCAGCTGTGACGGTCGCCCCCGCCGCCGGGCTCCAACACGTCACAACAGGCGGCGGCAGCGCTCGACCCCCGGTCTCGGCACACCGCAGGAGAGCCAGCAATCTCGGGACCACCGCGGCGGCGGCCGCTCGGAGCCGGACGGTACGGGAGTCCCCGGGAGAGATCAGCCGCATACAGACACTGCTCCCCGGCCGTGATGACAGGGCACTCACCGGTTATTGTTCCAGGTGTTGCCGCCGCGCCGGTCGCCAAATCCGCGGTCGCCACGGTCGTACCGTCCTCCGCCATATCTGTGGGTGGAGGACGACCGACGGCAGTCAGCTGAGGTTCAGAGGCTGGGACAGCAGCGGCAGCCGGCTGGGCTGCCGGTGCAGTCCGGTTAGAGCGGCGGCCGGATTTAATTACAGACCGCACTCGGCGGATTACAGAAGTGAGCCGGTTCAAAGACGGCTCACGTAACTCACAAAGAGTTATCAAAATTTGACAGCACTAGATGCCGGGTGAAGCCCGACAGAGCTGTTTCGTAAACAAACGTCATCCACGTCGGTAGTAGCATGCAACAGCTCATAATCGTTGACATGCATGAATAAAAACGTTAACTGAACTGAACCAATTAGTCATGCACAAAAATGCTCGCAGAGAATCACGGAAAATACCAGGCGCATAGAGTTTAACAGACTTATGAGATTCTGATGGCGAAAGAAACGCACCATATGCAGCCCTCGGGACAACCTGGCACTTTCCGCAAATCCCTAGAGGCGATCATGCAAGCTACGGTATTCCGGGCAGAATAAATTTTGAAAAGACTGGAATGGCATTTGAAAAATTCAGCAGCGTTCACCAAAGATCCTTCCGTCATTGGAAAATACCATGAATCAAGAGTCGATTGCGAAATGAAATTTGGTAACAATATCCAAGGGCGAATAACATGCGATAATCAGCATCGCATATATCGTTACCGTGATCACTAAGCCATTGCTTCCAAATGCCTTGACCTTGTCCGGAAAAAATCTACAGGCTGGAAGTCCGATATCTGATTAACAAGCTGAATATGCTAGACTGCCAGCGTAATTCGCCAGTCATGACTGATCGGCAGCAGCTTAGCTGACTTCTGCCAAAATATCCGGATATCACAAAACTGCCGTGCACGCCGAGAACGGTGCAAAACGTTTGTGATGATTAGCACCGATTACACAGATAACATATAGAAAAATAGAGTCCTAGCGAGCCGGACTGCGACTCTCGGCCGCGGCCTGCACGGCGGGCCGCCCGCGCTGGCGGACGGAGCAGAAATTTCGCTGGGAGCCCGGAGTGGTGAGTGATAGCTGGCAGCGCGGCGCGCCCCGATCCAGTCACTATCGCACTGCACTGGCCGCGCGCGACCGCGCCGCCGCCGGCGCAGTGCCGGCCGGCCGGCGGCGGTGCGGGCGCGCGCCCGAAATTGGTGCCCTGTCGGCGGGCGGAGCGGACCCGTTGGATGGCCGGTCCGAGAAGCCGTAGCCGCGGTCTCTGTCGCCGTACCCGCCGCCGCCGCCGCGGTTGTAGCCGCGGTCGAACGAGGACGGCATGGGCGGCGGCGGGCCGCGGGGGTCGTAGCCGCCGCCATAGCCGGGCCGGCCGCCGCCGCCGTACCCGCCACCCGGACGGCCGCCGCCGCCTGCAACACGCACCAGACACAACGGGGCGTCACAACAGCGGTGGCACAGACATGTGGAACTGTTCATACCACACATGACCTACATACTAGATACAACTTAGTACTGACTTTCATAAAAGCAGCATAGCAAACACTAAGCCCAGCATGCCCAAAACAAATTTATGATCACATCAAATTCAAGCAGGTCCATAAGATGGTAGAAATTAGAATAACCTAAGCAAGCTGATCTCATGCAGCCAGAACTCTCAACATTTCCACTCACTATGAGTGATAGCTATATTACATAACTATCCACAAAATGCATTTCTTCTGAAACTAGATTGTCCAAATGTACACCTGTAAATGAACTCCATGCTATCATCTGCCAAGTCATTAACAGACATAGATAAGCAAAGTAGATCATTCACCTACAATAGTTGTCAGATTACTACTCTATTTATGAAAAAAACTGACGATCAAACAACTGAAAATAACTAACAAGATAAATTTAGAACTAATAAAAACTGGAAGTATCTATGACATCAGCAGATGAAGCAGCTGAGTTTAACTGCTCAACTCAAAACTGCAGTTCCCATAACATAACTTCAAAAATAGATAACTTCAACAAAATGAACAATTTCACAATTTAACCTTGGTTTTATATCAACATTCTAGATACTCCTTCAAATTTCCTTATAAGCCTGCCAAATGGCTTAACTTTTACAACAAGTTAAACAAAACCAAATAAAGCTTGGTGAAACTCTGAGGTTCCGCTTGTCCCTTGAACATCACAGGAAAATTTAGTGGTAAGAAACCATTAATGCTATTATATTTACCACTTACCTCTGTAATTTCCAAAGCTTGCTCCACCTCCATCCATCCCACCACCTTCCATTCGACGGTTTGGTGGGACATATCTGTTTGTGTTCTGTTGTGGGGGACCACCTTGACCACCTCCGCGGATGTCTAACCCAGCAAACTGGAAAGATCAAATGCAAGTAAATCAAACAATGCACAGCTTCTGGCCCAACACCATTGCTTGACAGAAAATAGCAAAAACAAAGCATAAATCAACAAATATTAATGCTTTGGTTGCGCCATTGGATGACGAAAATCACCGGTAGGCAATAGTGGCGCAATAAAGAAAACTCACCTGCTGATCTAGACCAATCCCATTTTGGTTAGGTACATTACTCATAGCACAAAGTTATTGAAAAAGGTTCCTTTAACCACCTTAGCTTCTTGTTTGTTTCAGAATGCTTGATAAAGCTAAGTGAATCAGTAACAAAGGATAATAACGGTTCCCCGTCCGGCTTCCCCGTAACACCAGCGCCGCCGTTTCAATCAAAATGATTCTTAAATGTTCACTCTTTTCACAAAATTTAATCAATTACAAACGCTTTTTGTTTATTCAAAACGTTACAATTTTGAGTTATTTTGAAAATACTTGCTTTACAAACAATCCTGAAAAATTAATTTCTTTCATCACAGACAGCGTTGCAATTAATGTTCTTTTCCGTTTTGAAAGACCTGCGATTTAGGTGAATTTGTTATTACAATCGGTTTTTGGTGTTGGTATTGGAATTATCGAATGTCATCTTCAGTTATTCATGTTTCAGCTTCTTCAAACGATTTTTGCTGGCCCAGAAATGTTGCTTACCATATCTTTGTCGCTGCGTTGCAGGTCATCATGGGACGCGTTATCCGCGCCCAGCGTAAGGGAAGGGGGTCAATTTTCACGGCCCATACCAAGCACAGGAAGGGTGCCCCTAAGCTGCGTAGTTTGGACTATGCTGAACGTCATGGCTACATCAAGGGAGTGGTCAAGGTAAGTCAATTTTTTTTTCTATTTGTAATTTGAATTGAAATTAATCTGCATATATCCTTACAAAACATGGCAGTGTTTCACGGCAGGGTTTCACTGCGGCGTTGGTGCGGTGTTTGAGACTTATTCTGTTTGACGCTCCAGCTTCACGGGCGTCTGGGTTTGTTGACATTTCAATGGAAGCCCAAAGCATCGCTGCGCGCAGCGTGCTGCTGTGAAACCACCCAGGTTGAGGTGTGCTGGATTGTTTCGCAGCACACCACTACATGACACTATCAGGTGCCGCTGCCAGGTTCTTGTGAAACCATACTGCAATTCTGCTTAATGTATGTATGGGAGCTATCAATAATTATCTTAATAACATGCGTGGTGCACAGTGAAATGGCCCCAAATGACTGGCATATGGTGATTAATGATTATTCACCTGTTTTTTCTCATTGTAGGAAATGTATGGTTCTAAGTATTTCATGATAGCTTACAAGTTACAATGCAATTGAGCTTATCGGTGGAGCCAACAAATAACTAAATGCTTATACTGGCTCCACATACTGGCACATACTGGCTCCAATTGTATTGTATTGTATTTACTACAAGCACCCACAGGCAAACGCCCTTTTAACAGGTGCAGTCAAAACAGTACATAAAATCATAAACAAGATGAGGTGAAAACACAAGTGATTCACAACACTGTAGTTAAAAGCACGGCATAATTGTTGGCTGCATATTTGTTGGCTCCACCAATAACCTCAACACAAATATGTCCCTAGATAGTAAGCTTACAATGCAAGTGGTCATTGCATATTGACTCTAAATTCTCTAGTTCTGGTTTTTCAGAAGTTTCTTGTTTTGGAATTGGATGCACAATTAATCTACATATCATGCGGAATCATAGGTGATTGTGGATTATTGTGTTTTGCCATAAAAAGTAAAAACTGTTCCTTGAGCTCCAAGCTGGGATAGGGTTTAGTTTGTTAGCTGTTAAGAAATATTTTCAAATAGGTAACACTTAAATTTTGCCTTGCATAACTGTTTTTAGTCTGATAAATCTGACCACTGGCATATCCAGGCTGTATTTTCTATTTGGGACACTGCTCACCCTTTCAACATCCAAAATATATAATTTTGCTGTTTTTGCTGAATAGATCTGTCACAAAGTGTAAGCCAAATATAAGCACCATCAGGCATCAGCTCAGCTGTTCTCTACATGGGGAGCAGTCCCTGAACTGCATGAGCCATGCACTGATGTCTGATAGCCAATTTGACTTACAAAGGCTTTATTCAACAAACAACAGGGCATGATGGCACCTTGACCTGACAAAAGAAAAGCCATTAACCATGTGCCAGAAACAGAATAGTAGCCGCAGCATGCAGCAGTCACTCACAACATGTGTCATGCAGATGGAACACTTCATGATATTCCCTGCCAACAAAATGACTACATATCTTAATCTAGTCGCTTTGGGGTTCCCCTTTCACGCATCGAGCGCTGTAGAGGTATGCGAGTCTTCTCATCAGCATTCGGACGAACGCCGCGTTTCCGCATTGGACGAATAGCCGACGTGTCCCCGGTCTCGCCAGCTCTGAGGAAAGTGTCTGATGGGTTCATGTTTGATGTTTTACTCACGAGGCTGGGACTGGTCATCACAGTCAGCTGGGTTCAACTCAGGGTCCCACGACGGTTCACCTGTGATACCTGGCTGGAGAACGACATCCTTATCATGACCGCGAACAGGGACATCACCCGGCGGAGCAAGATCACGAACAGACACAGCTTTTTCCTGACCGCGAGGCAGCCTCACGTGTGCATACTATGGGTTGACATCGAGAACATCGACCTCTTCGACCAACGTTTCGTACTTTGAACGGCGGACATGTCGTTTTAGCAGCACTTTCCCCGGCGCAGGTAGCCAAGAGGGAACAGATTGGCCACAGGCTGAGTGCCTCTGGAAGGCGAAAATACGCTCGTGCGGTGTTAAGTTCGTGGCCGTACAAAGCAGCGTTCGGATAGAATGAAGAAACAGAATAGTAGCCACACCATGCAGCAGGCACTCACAACATGCATCATGCAAACAGGACAGTTCACCACACCGCACACTAGCATTACCTAGCTTCCCAACTGTGATGCGTCAAAATTCTCTGTGTGGTGGGTGTTTCACTTTTTGGCCACTTCATCCTTCAATGGGGCTGCTCTATTGACCATGTAATTGATTGTAGTTCCAGCACGCTACACCCAGTTAATGTGAAGTAATAGCCTGAGGAACAATTCTTTACACATCTGATTTGGCATGTGACACACGCCATGCCAGTCACCCATATGCATAAAAAAGTTGAACTCGTGGTTGAACGGATGGGGCTATCTAATGCAGAAGACTATTTGTCGGTCGGCCAAGCAGGGTCCGAGATTAACAAGGCTGTGAAAAATGTCACTGGGTAGGATTTTCTGCTACTCATACGCATATAAATTGCGAATAAACCCATAGAAATCTTGTAAACCAGCAAAAAATTGGCGCGGTCGCTTGAAACACTTGCCATTGTAATAAACTAGTGCTTATATTTCATATTTACCCCCGAAATAACACATTGTGGTCGGGCCTGGATGACATATTTGTCGACTGTAAAAGCAACAGTTGCATTACCTGCATGCACTGTCTTTACTTCTGCTCTGACAGAGTGCACATGACACCATTTTCCACGGACAAACTGAATTTATTATAGCATTAATGTGCAGGAACTCAAACATGCTTAATTACCCCCTTGTGTCTGTATAATTTGCCCTTACACTCGTGACATGATGATTTGATATCTCTGAAGCCAATGCTGAACCCCCGCATTTTCGACCAAGAGGCTGTTTCTGATGTACCCATGACAAGTCAGTTTTATTGAAGTGTTTATGCAGACTTCTCACCCCTCCCCCCATCTTGTCTGTCAGGAGCTGATCCACGACCCTGGCCGCGGCGCGCCGCTGGCCGTCGTCCACTTCCGCGACCCGTACCGCTACAAGACGCGCAAGGAGCTGCTGCTGGCCGCCGAGGGCATGCACACGGGCATGTTCATCTACTGCGGCGTCAAGGCGGCGCTGCAGATCGGCAACGTGCTGCCCGTCGGCCGCATGCCCGAGGGCACCATCATCTGCAACCTGGAGGAGAAGTCTGGCGACCGCGGCCGGCTCGCCAGGACATCCGGTGAGCGAGGCGGCGCCCGGCGGTGGATTTAGTCTGGCCGAGGGACGGGTTTTGCCGTTGCCGATAATTTAATTTTGAAATTTTACGATATTTTTGCCAAATGTGATAAATGCCAGAGGTTATCGAAGATCCTTGACTTGTGTAGTTGCAAAATCTCCTATTGTAAATTAGCACAAGGTCAGACAGCACATCAGAATGTGAGTTCACATGTATGCAGTTTTGTGGTTTGAAGTTATTTAATTGCTGCTACTCCGATTCCTCGGTTGAATCCTTATACTACATCGTGTATGATGATTCGTTTTGTCTGAAGCTAATGCTGAAACTCTCCGCATTATCGACCAAGAGGCTGTTTCTGACTGCGTCCCCTCCCACCCAAACACGGCCGGGTCTGCGTCCCTCCCTGACACATCTCCGCTATGCCTCTTGGCAGGCAACTACGCCACGGTTGTGTCGCACAACCCGGACACGAAGAAGACGCGCATCAAGCTGCCGTCCGGCTCCAAGAAGGTGATCCCGTCGGCCAACCGCGCCATGGTCGGTGAGTGACCACCTGCTGACAAGAGGGGAGATGGCTGACAAGAGAGTGAGAGAGGGCTGACTGGAGGGGGAGGAAGCCAACCCCGGAGGGACCTGATGAAACATCGGGTCCCTCCTGGACCTGATCAGGTCCCTCCATCCATCCAGCGACTACTGAGTGCGCTGGATGGATGGAGCCGAGTCGAGGGTGGGATGTGACGGAAACGTGGAGGGATGAAGACGGGCTTTGAATTTTTGGGTTGTGGGGTGGAAGACGGACAGCCGAGCGATTTACAGTTAAGCAGGTCCAGCTTGTTGTTAAAGTTTTGCTTTGGAACACCTTTGCTCGTTATAGTATGCTGGAATTAATTTGTCTCGATCTTTGTTTCCGGTGATGCCGTAGTGCTCTTGCCAAGAAATGACACCCAATTTCTCTATTTATATTTCATTGTCAATTTCTCGGCACGTCAATGTTATGTTTTGCGATCTATGCACCTTCTGACTGGCCATCCTGGTCGGCTGCAGGCATCATCGCCGGCGGCGGTCGTACCGACAAGCCCATCATGAAGGCCGGCCGTGCCTTCCACAAGTACCGCGCCAAGCGCAACGCCTGGCCCACCGTGCGTGGTGTGTGCATGAACCCCGTCGAGCACCCCCACGGAGGAGGAAACCACCAGCATATCGGCAAGGCGTCCACCATCGCGCGTGGCAAGTCGCCCGGAAAGAAGGTGAGATATGGGCAAATAGGATTAGTTTGGAGAGGGGACTGCCGGGTTTGTAATGCTAATGATTCGAGTAGTAATGTTGCTGGCTACGTTTGCTTGTTTACCGTACATTGCGATCAGCTTGTGGTTGATTTGTGTTTTGCCTGTTCCGTTGTAAATGATGATTGTTCATGTCTGAAGCTAATGCTGATATTCTCTGCATTATCGACCAAGAGGCTGTTTCTGACGTTACGGCCCGTGCTATGTACCGCCGTGTCGTCCCGCCGTGTGCTGACCCGGCCCACCCCCCGTTACAGGTCGGTCTCATCGCAGCCCGGCGGACCGGTCGTATCCGCGGAGGAAAGAAACTGGTCAAGGACTCCGACTAAACCAAACATCATTGACTCGAGAATATACGCTCCGTGGAAACTCATGTCTTTCGGGTCTGAGGCCATTTGGGAGAGTACAGCTGGATGGAATGGCAGTTTTAGTGAGGGTTTTATGAAGAGGCAACTGAATATGCTGAGAGCTAATATGATTGAAACTGTCATTATCAAACGAAGGAAAAGAAATACGAATGCGAAATGTGATACATGTAGTGATCTGTGGTTAGAATGAATGATCATTGAATGGGTGAATGAACGAATAAGAGTGAAAACGTGACTAAGATGTGCCGTGCTGTTTCCTGAGACTGGGACTGCAGGTTAGTTCTAAACGTTACGTTCGGTCGGCCGTGCAGAGCATAGAAACTGCTTCAGCCGTAATCTTCCCACAGAGATCAATGGTAATAGCGGGGTCCAGAAAGTCGTTAGGCCACGGTCGGCGGTATGCGACCAGAGAACAATGCCACAGAGAACGGCAAAGCATTTTCCAGAATCGCCCTTTTTTACGCCAGGGCTACTCATCAAAAGCAAACGAAGTTTTAGAGAATTGCACTCTTTTTTCCGCCTTTTTTCGAAAGCTACCAAAAGTTATGAAGCTGTCCATAAATCGATTAACCACAGATTATGTTACGGACCAAGCGAAGGAGACTTGAACCGCACAACAGAAAAAGCGCCTTTATATGTAGGAATACGAATCCCGAAATCCAGGTGGATTATGATGTTCGACAGGTAGTTGTTAGAGGGCACTGCCGTCGCTACAATAGATGGCAGGCTTGTCGCTCAATCTTCCAGTTTTCCTTCATGATACCAGCCAGTATTGATTATTTCGGCACAAGCAGCTGCCCTGATCCATTCGCATTCGACTGGCCAACTACATTCGAAATCAAATTTTGGAAACGTGAAAAGAGGTCGAATTTATTAACATAACGTATCATACATTTTGCTCAAAACATTTTATTATTCATGCACAAACACGTGGGCAATCGGGCGCAAAAGCGCAGCAGTTCTCTATATACCTACCAAAGCCAGGGTAGGTATTGAGTGTGTACCAAACCCAGGTACCAAACCTACCATGAGCGTAGCCGGAGCGTAGCGAGCGTAGTTGACGAAGGCGCGGATGTGATGCTCGTCTTCGGTCTCCCACGTTTTTTTTTTGTGTGGCTGGAGTCAAATTTCATTCATTTCATTAGTGACCCTGTGTCAGCGCTGCGAAGAGTGCAGGTGAGAAGAAGGGGAAAATAAGGATAAAAGCGTCCATAACTGTTTCAATAATGCTCCGGTTTTTGAACTGCAGAGGGCTGCGATTTCGCTTCATATTGCTTGAGCTTTTAGGGTGCCTTTGTGTTTATTTTTGTACTTTTCCCTCACGGATCGCCTTCGGTGCTGTCGCCTGACACTGCCCAATTTAGTGCATCATTGGATTTTCTTTGACCGACTGGCAACTACCCACCCATGTCCCTATTGCCGTGTTCGGTGCCACACCGGCCATGTCAGTTACGAGTTTATCGCTTGTGTTTTGTAATGGATTCGCCCTCTTACAGCGTGGTTGGCCGTCGTTTGATACCGTCTTCTATGACCGCAGGGCCTTGCTGCGAGCCATCTGCAGTCTCCCGTCTCCAGTCTCCAATCTCAATCATCTCCAGTCTCCAATCCATCCACAACTCGGCCATCCTGATCGAGGACGTGCGATGCTCATTTGGTGCTAAATACCTACTCCAGACCAACTGAGCAGCATTGGTGAGTACCTGTTGGAGCAAGACCTTGCTCAGCTGGTGCAAATCTTTTGCTGCGTTGCTTCGCCTTCCACCATGTCATTGTCACATATTTTCGGTTACATTTTTAGTTGACTGTCTTCCTTAGCGCTCTCCACTACCATATTAATCTGCTCGTACTTCTGTTATCTCCAAACCACGAGAATATCACGGTCCACAGTCCGTGAGTCGTCAATCTCGTCATTTGTCGAACCGCCTCATCTGATAGTGCAGCGACTGGCCTACGATCAGGGTGCGTCGTTATGGTCTCTGAGGAGGCAGTATTGGCAACTGACAGGTTCTGGAACTGACTGAGGCCATACAACTGCGTCATAGCAAAGCTTTAAGACAAGAGTGGGGGTGGGGGAGGGGAGGGTAGGACCGGGAAAGGTGAATGGGTACGTCCGTGGTTACAGCGGCTCTGGATGCTGCCCTTGCAATTTATGTTTTTCTTGTTTTGAGATGGCGGCGATTTTCGTGTTATGTGATCGGTGCCTACCTACCTGCCTTTGTTGGAGCCCTCAGCCCGTTCTAAGTAAGAATTGAAGTTCCTAACTGCATCAGTCCTCAGGTGATGCGTGGTTATCCTCGACCGTTTTGAAGCACTGGATACCTATAATGTATACAGGGTGGACCAAAAAGGATGGAAACATTTTAAACTCGTATAAAACATGCAATTTTGCATGCAGGTGACTGAAAATGATACCAAACGAGAGTACATTTTGTGGAAATTCATAATGACATCATGCTCAGCTGCTTTCTCTCGTTTTCAGTCTCTCACAGTAGATATTCGAGGAGACCACCTTCGCGAGACAGGCACAGAGCGGCCCGCCTGGCGGCTGACGCGATAGCCCGACGACACAAGTCCTCTGGTATGACTCGCACAGCCTTGGTGATCGCTCTCTTCAGGTCACTAAAGCTTACAGAACCTTCTTTATAGACCTGACCGGTGACCCTTGAGATGACCCTACAGGAAAAAAATCCATAGGGTCAGGTCGGTTGAGCAGACAGGCCAGTTCCACTTCGGTTCGAGAGTGGGAGCGACATGGCTGACCTACCAAGCGACGCTAAAGAAGTTCTTGAAGTGAGATCAAGCGACGTATGGCAGTATCTTGGACCTCATGTGGCTCCAGCAAGGCGGTGCGTCCCCTCACATAGCAAAACAATGCTCAAGTGGATCGAGAACCACTCAGGTGACCGGCTGATATCCCGCGGTGCCAGTCGGAACTGGCCCGTCTGCTCACTTGACTTGACCCTTATGGATTTTTTTCCTGTAGCGTCATCTCAAGGGCTAGGTCTACAAAGAAGGTCCAGCAGGCCTCTGTGGCCTGAAGAGAGCGATCACCAAGGCTGTGGAGTGGAGTCATACCAGAGGACATGTGTCGTCGGGCTATCGCGTCAGCCGCCAGGCGGGCCGATCTGTGCCTGTCTCGCAAAGGTGGTCTCCTTGAACATCTACTGTGAGAGACTGAAAACGAGAGAAAGCAGCTGAGCATGATGTCATTATGAATTTCCACAAAATATACTCTCGTTTGGTATCATTTTCAGTCACCTGCATGCAATATTGTATGTTTTATGCGAGTTTAAAATGTTTCCATCCTTTTTGGTCCACCCTGTAGTTGGCATATGTTTTAAAAGTTAATGCTTTTTATCTCGCATCAATGACTATAGCATACGTTCTCCATTGAGCAAGCAGACTGGAACTACCAAGTACCAGTCATATATATTTTGCGTCTTAATTAGCATATCAGCTTTAATTGTCATTGCGACATATCACCGGTTGTAGGATTGAGGAATGCGGCTAAATTCAGGCCGACGGCACATATAGGTCCGTGTACCCGTTGTTTCAAACTCGGGTTCTCGATGTCGCAAAACCGAATATCTTTCTGTTATGCAGGCAATTTGCAAGAGGCGGTCTTATTTCGTTTTCAGTGTAAACGATCCGGACAATCGATTGCATTGGTTTCGAAATGGACCTTACCTATTCTCTAGCCTCTGCACATTTGCAATGGAATCACTCTTCTGCAGACTGCAACGGTCCCTACAACGCGTCAAAAATACTGCTGTCAATTGGGTTTTCTTCACCAGACCTGCCCCCAGCTAAGAGACATGTGTAGCACTTAACCATGACAGCGGCAGTAGTATCGGTAGAGTGGCGGTAGCGGCGACCGTGCGGCCACTCTCAGCGGGGAGCCGGCCCGGCCCGACCTGACCTCGATGGCACATCCTGCTCCGTTCGCCTGAGTCACTAATTGAAGCCAGACACTGCGGCGCCGCACCCCGCCAGAGGTGTCTGGGAGCGGAACGGACCTATATTCGCAGCTCCCTATAGTGGGGAGCTGGAGACTGGTCACGGTAATCGGATTCGGTGTCTGTGTTAGCAGTAGGCACTCAGTTTCCACAATTACGATGGAGACCGAGACTATGTAGTTGTTGATTGCCGATTGTGTATCCTTATGCAGCATGTATGTATTTGTATCCATTGTATAAATCCATCCATATCTATGGATTTATACAATGGAATAATTGTCTGGCTCCATTCTTGGCAGGATGTGCCAAGAATGGAGCCCAATCTTATAAAATGCCGTACTATTCTATTCACGGCATTTGGTAGCATTGACAGTCATACCAGTGCCGACAAACGGTTATCCGAGTTGACAAAATGATTCTTTGGACTATCAACCTATACGATGGACTGAAATGCGTGAAAACCATTTTGTATTTGATAGCCGTTTTCTGCAGCTTAACTTCAGCCAGTGCTGCCATATCCATTTCACGGCGTTTATAAGATTGGGCCCATGTGCGGTTATTCTCTAGACATTTACTTTATTAGCGGATGGATTATGTTTAGAAGTCGCCCTATTCGACATTGTGCTTGATATTCCTGCATTTTTGTTTCGTGAATTCATCCCACTATTTGTTCGGGGCCTACTTGAGTGAAACAGAAGCTCATATGTTACTTTGATGCTCAGATCGACTCTTGAATCTGATGGTTTATGCTAAAGCGGCACGATGACTTCAAAGCTACCTACTGAAGTAGACAGAAAATGCCAGCCCATAATGGCATCGATCTCGAGCTGACTCCACGCAGAGAAATGATATATGCCTGCTCAGTCGGTGGCAGTGATCTATCATGGTCAGCCTCGCCCCATGGTCTCCCCTGTGCGGGCAAAAACCTCATCGGCGATGCATTGTCTGATTTTCGGTGGCCGCCGATCCCATCAGAGCCGGTTACGTATAAGGGCGTGGCCGTCTCCCCCGCTGCGATCGCTCGTGTTACCGGGACAGGTCAGTACCTATCGCAGTTTCTTGACAGGTTCAGGGTATGCGTTATCTCCGTATTGGCAAAAATAGCCTGGTTATCATAACGATATCTGACATCCGTAAGAAGTGAGAAATTCGGTCTAGTGCGGTTTCTGGGTGAGAGGGAAACTAAGGAGAAATTGTCCGGTGATATTCAAGTGCGAGTCGTCTGCCGTCCTATCGTCCGTCGAACCGAATGATAATGACTCCAAACTAAGGATGTTTGTGGGTCGACCGATGATCAGTATGATAGTGGGAACTATTGTATCCTTGTTCCGATTTGGTAGACCCAAACTGCCAATTTTCCACGGTCTTCCTCCGCCCTCGTGCCGCCTCGTCGACATCGGTCAATCACAAATGCCCAATCGCGGCGACTGTGGCGCACTTTTCGCCGTAGCCTGCGCCGAACTAGACGCACCGCGCTCAAGGTAAGACAATCGTGGCGCGGCGCGGGGGGCAGGAGTGGCCGGTCAAGGCCCGCGCTGTCGTTAGACTCGACAAGGCCCCTCACGGCGTGAGGCACTTACGGGCCAGACGACGGGACAGCGGGCCGCGCGCGGCGTGTTGTCACAACAGGTGCGCTGACCGGGCTCTCCTGTGCCCCGGGCGCCGCAGCTCTGCGCGGCCGGCGGGCCAGGTGAAAGCGTGCCGCGTGCCGCGTGCCTCGGCTACCGCCGCGCTGCTGCCTGGACCGCCGCGCTGGTGGGCTTGTAGTACGCACACCCCGCGCCGCTGTCGCCGCCGGCAGAGCCACAGTCTCCGGAGCAGCCGCCCCGATGTCGGGAGATACGACAGACCCCCGACGAGTCGTCCCTCCGCCGGCTATGTAAATTTCCCGCCGCCTGTGAATGAATCAGACACCGCTCGGCGCACCGGTGCCTGCCCCGGGCGGCGGACGTGCATCGCTTGCGAAGTGCGTGTCCTCTACTGGCCGGCCGGGCCGTTCTGCGAACATTCTAACGGCCTTTCTGCGCACATTCTAACGGCATCTGCGCAGTCTCTGAATAATTGGATTGTGAGAGTTTCAGCTCTACGGCATTAAAACTGAGAGCGTCACTGTAGCGCAAAACTCGTCATCGTTATTAGAGCCGTAAAGGTGACCTTTGCGCTCGGCTGTCGCTCCACATTCCGGCTCTAATAACTCTCTTTCGCGCTTTCCTATCCGGGTGTCTCGGTCGGCTGCAAACCGACACCGTTCTCTGCGGCGGTGTCGATTACTTTCCGTCCGTCCGTCCGGGGGGTGCCGGCGCTGTCGGCGCGTGTCGCCGGCAGGGACAGCGCTGCGCCGGGGGAGTCCGGCCCGGAGGCGGTGCTCCCCGCCGAGCCGCGCTGATCATGACCTAGAAACGGCTCCCCAGTGGCCTTGGCGGCCCGGAAGCCGCCTGGGAGCCGGCCGTCGACGTGGGAGTGTTCGCGAGGCGGCCGGGAGCGCGCCGGAAGCATCGCTCGACTCTCTGAAGGGCGCCCGGGCCGCGGGCCACGGAACACGCCGTCCGCTGTCACCTTCTGAAAGGGCTCAGTGGCGGCTCGGCACGGGACAGCCCGCAGCTGAGCCGTCGGTCAGGCCGAGACGACCATCGCCGGGCGCGGCGCGACCATCAATGAGAACCGGTCCCCGTCGGCGCCGGACAGGTTTTCGTCGAGGAAAAAGCGTCCGATGCGGTCGCGTGATGGCATGAGCGCTGTGAGGACGCTGAGGGGTATCTGCTCGCCTGGCGGCTGGGTGCGGCGGGGCTTAGGAGGATAAGACCCGTCAGTGCCTGGATGTGATGAGGCCCCGACCGGGTGACACATGGCACCGTGAACTGCGCATTGTTGGTGGCCTGATCTCCATTTATGGCCCATGTGTGGGTATTTTTGGTGCGTAGCTCGTATCCTCTGTGTGCGTAGAGCACACACACACGCCCTGTCCAAACATCAGCCGATGATAGTTATCTGCAATCTGCATTATACAGACCAAAACACCACTGGAAATCCCATCTATCCGCCCATCCGTCCTCTTGGGCTTCCCGTCCGTCGGCCTGTCCGTCTGTCCCATCCCAATCCCGCCGGCCGGCCGGCGCACAGCCGCGAGACCGGTACGTTGCCATGAGGCTGCCCCGGTCATGGTGGAGGTCACCCGCTTCAGCCGACCGCTCCGCCGGCCCTTCACTCACGCAGCGGTGTTGCGAAACGCAGCGCCGAGTGCATTGCACTCGCAACATAGTAGTGTGTGGATCGATGGCAGGCTGTCTTCGCCGCGGCGGTGAGCTCTACTCCTTCATCCTTGTGATATTTCGGTCTCATTTGTGATATCTCTGAGCTGATATTGTGGTAAAATAAAAAGTGTGGTAGCATTTTATCGGCCTTGATATAAATCAAGCCCAGTGAAAGAGCATGTGCGATAAATAATACTTCATGTATGTATTTCATTGCATCGACACTGATAAAATAACTGTACACTGTTACGCGCTTGTACTCCTACATTAGTTGTATCACATCTCATAGATAGCACATTACATACACACGATAGATAATATCTTAGACAGCCAGCGAGGACTGCGGCGGCCTCTCGCGTCATCCCGAGTTTCACTGTCGGCTGTGTCAGACCGGAGTCTGAATGTGGGCGAACGGTGTGCCCGCTGGCGATGGACGGCTCAGCAGAGCAGTGAAACAAGGATGAGCGAAGGCGCCAATAAATAGCACGGCGGTGCAGCGGGCCGACTCGGCCGGCGACCGGCCGGGCTGACCTGTGGTGACCTCAGGTCAGCCCGGCCGCCGCCGACCGTCCGGCCTCGCTGCCGACCGGGGACTGCCGACGCGTCCTGGCCGCCTCGGACAGCCCGAGAGCGGCCCGACCCGCGACCTCCCGAGTCCGACCGCCCGACAGACGGCTCGGAGTGAAGATTTGGCACGCAAATTCCTCGAGCGTCGCGCGGCGCCCCGACAACAACGAACGACGCCCGCACAGGGGCGGGGGCGCTGACTAGACTGTGCGCGACCCAAGAACGGTCGCGCGTCCGCTCGCACACAACATCTCAACACAACGACAAGTGACCGGCGCGGCGCCCTCAGGCCGCCCTCGTCACCTCCTCCGCGTAGCCGCTCTCGTCGCTGGCACTGTCGTCGATGTCATCGTGCGACGCGCGCGTCCACTGGTGGTGCATGGCTTCGTCGTCGAGCCGGCAGCGCACCTGGAGCCGGCAGTCGTTGAGGCGGCGCTCGACGGGCGAGCCGCGGCGCACGTGGTAGACGCGGCACGGCCCGTTTGACTGGAGCAGCACCGTGTCGGTCGTCTCGCAGTCCGAGTCGGCGGTCGGGTCGCTGGGCACGCTGGTGCCGCTGCGCTCCGAGCCCGTGTCCGACTCGGTGTCGGAGTCGGCGCCCGAGCCGGCGCCCGCCTGCGGGTGCGAGCACACGCTCGGCGGCGGCACCAGAGGCTCGCTGAGCGCGCGCGGCCGCGGCGGCATCGCCGACTGGGTGGCCGCGCGGCGGCGCTCCTCCTCGCGCGCCTCGCTCTCCTCTCCGTCGCGGTCCTCCTCGATGCTGCTGAGCTTGGGCGCACTCTTGCTGCGCTCCAGGGGCGGTCGGTAGTTGGCGCCGCCGCTGGCCAGCGCCACCTTCCTGGCCGGGGTGCTGGGGTACAGCACGCTCACCACCGACAGCCGCGCGTTCTGCCGCAGCTGCTTCTCCTTCCTGAACTCGACGAACGCCTGGTGCAGCTTCTCGGTGAGCAGTCGCTGCATCAGGCGCGCCTTGGTCTCGGAGGAGCAGAGCACCGCGTGACAGCGCAGCTCCGGCTTCATCTTGCGTCCTTCGTGGCGGTACACCCAGCAGAAGAGCTGCGGACAAAGGAGAGACAAGTCAGAATCACAGCGCTGGGAACTGTCGGCGTCTAAACAGTCGGCACTCAAGCAATGGTGAGAAACCGGCGCGCGTGCCTGGGAAAGTGTCTCAGCCAAACAGGTACGGGTCTGAGAGCAGGTGGAGCGGACATATACGGCGCCCGGTGTCCGGTCCCAGTGTCCGGATTGGACAAGACGGGCAAACGCAGAACAGGATTGACAAGAATGCAGGGAAAACCGGCGCGCTTCAAATAATGTCTGCACTCAGGTGGAACAGGTATGAACGAACCAAGAACGGACAGATACATCTTCTAGAGAAGTTATGATCTAAACGAGGATATTAAAACAGAACACATCACGACTGAGCCCTCAAGTGTCGATCTCACGTGAGACGGACCAACAGCAATGGTCAGTGGAGAGGTCATGACATAGGTATGCATTAGTCGAAACTCGTAAAACGGTCGTGTTCAGTATCGTGCGCCACACAAAGAGATGCTCCATCATTCGTCTGACGAACCAATCGATTTCAGCCTCAAGGACATCTACGCCTGAGGAGTTTGGCCTCACTTAACCAATTAACCAACGCCTCAGCTCCCACGATCTTAACGTCTCACCACTCAAGTTTGATCACTATCCTAAGGCCCTGAATCTGTCCAGCTACAGTCGCAAAGTGCATGCATTTCCCACAGCTTTTGACACGTTCCACCCTTCAAACGATTCTCGGCGGCGGCTGGCGGCGAATTCGGCGTTCCTCGGCGGACCGCAGCGGCCTCGAGGTGGGGGCGACGCCCATACATAGACAGCCGCACGCGACCTTGGTCGCACCTTTCGCGGTGAGGCGTGCGTGCTCGGCGCTCGCGGTGGTGAGCCGCGGCCCGCCGCCGCCCGGCGGACCGGCCCGGCCTCCCCGGCGAGACGGGACAATGTGTCACCAGCTCCGCTTGGCGCTGGCAGACCGGACAGCCAGCCCCGGAGAAAGTCCCGGCATGTGGCGCGTCTGGAGCGAGCGCGGAACGACCACTCGCCCGCCTCCCAAGTGCGGACGTCTCGAACTGATGAGAGGAGCATCAATCCACCTCGTGCGACCGGCGAACCGAAACGCGTTTGTCGAGCGGGCCGTGACGGTATGTCAGTCGACCAGCCGACCATATGGGGCGGGATAGACGACTATCTTTCCAGCTACCAGCCCGCTCTGGTTTAGTGAGAGGTGGCGCGGGGCTTAGCGCGGCGGCTCACTGCTCATGGCGGTCGACCTGACCTAATTCTGAGGCCGTCACGGTGAATAGATACGTCTTGTGAGGCCGGAATGGAATAAAAACTCGCCGGCTCATGAATTTCTATGCATGTGATTTGGTCGCCGGACGAGGCAGGCGCGGCTGGCACAAACCATGGATTGGACAGCGAGATAAGTTGCCAGACGTCTGCTGAATATCGTCTCGCGTCGGCGACATGTAAGCTGAATGTTTGTCAAATGACTCCTGAGTGTCTGCTGAGTGCCGGTCGTTGAGTTGGGCTGAATTAGGCTAACGGCCCACAGCCTGTCTCCGACATATTTTCACTGCCAGAGTCCGGACATATCTCCGCACGGTGGTGCTATGCCGGCCGAAAGCAGGATCTCGTGACTCGATAGACGAAACAGCGCAGCGGCAGATGGACTGCGGCCTGGTTCGAGTCCCATGAGGGGGGGGGGGGGGCTGGAACAGGGGCCACACCACCGGCGGACCGGTCGAAACTGGTCGGTGGCGGACCGATGGGTTAGGCAGTCACGGACAGACGGACCGGGCCTGACGTTGTGCCGGTAAATACGATGGCTCAACCCGGCGGAGTCGGTCCGTACCAGTTAGCTGACCTATGTATATGATCGGACATAGCCGACAGTCATGGATGGGTACGACCGCCCGCTCTCCGGCCGAGTCACTCCGTGCCAGTCAGCTGACCGGCCGGTGAAGGTCCGTACCAGTCCGCAGACCGGGCGGAGCTGACCGAACAGCAGTATCGGCCGTACCCGAACTGTGCCCGAGCCGAGCCACGACCGGCACCGCGGCACTCGTCACGTCCGGCTTAGTACGGTTGCTCCGTGACCGCGGCGGCCGCTCGTGCCCGGCGTGGCCTCCTGGCCGAGCTGCCCGCCACCAGGCACAGCCGGACCGACTGAATGGTGCTCGAGCGGCGGTGACTCAGGGCCGGCACGGACACATTTTACCCGCGCTAGCGCCAATTTGTCGCGCCAGCCGTCCGCACGATTGGCTGCCTGCGGAGTGTCATGGGTGCCGCAGCGCCGCCCCATGGCGGCGAAGGTTGCTCCGCGCCCGGCCGATCATACCGTTGAAAAAACATCACAAAATCACCGAGCTCTGGCAAAACCATCGGAGTGCGGGCGGCGCCGCAGGCGGCGGCGCCGTTTGGGACCGGGGACATTAGGAGCGGGCGCCCAGGGGCGGCTCGTGGTCCCTCGGCGTGGGCGACTGACGGATGATGCTCTCAGCCGGGCAAGGTCCTGGCTGGGTGTTTGTTGGGCTGGCGCCGGCCCCGACTCTGTTGACAGAGCAGACAGCCACTCCCCGCAGCCGCGGGCGGAACTGACGTCGGCCAAATTCCGTTGCGAATTTGGTGTCGGCGCACCGCTGATTCAGCCCCAGGTGGTCTCTGCACGGCCGCTGGACACCAAACACCAGACACGCTATACTGACCAATGCAGGAGCACTGCGCTATGTAGGCGGCTGTGTGCAGTACCTATGTATGTACTTGTGTCAGCTCACCGTACCTGGCTGTGCCGGGCATACGTCAGAGCGATCGAGTATCGGACATGGTTCACTCATTCTGAGCCACGTCTGATTGTGCCGTTCAAAGCTCACACGTGCACAATCAAATATCAACACCGGCCGTAGCTGCGCATCAGGCGTCAGCTAAGCCCTCGCTCCTGCCAGTACGGCACTCCCTCAGTGATAGGCGCCAGGAGCCTACGACTGTCGTGCTGCTGTGGTTACAAAACCGGCACCGCATGACGCGCTTGACAACCGTCTCGTACCCAGGCTTCACCGGCCCGACGACTCTGGACGTCTGATCTGCGCTTCAAAACCACCCGCCTCGGTGCATCTGCACCGAGCTGATGCCAAGCCCGCTTTCCGCAGCCGGTCACATCAGTGGCCGGTGTGCGTTTGATTCTGTCGGCACGACGACAGATCTGCGGCCGTGCATCTCGTGTCTGTCCCGGCTAAACGAGCACCGCATCCACCTTGATCCCAGTCATCACAGCGAGGAGAATGTTGGCAGGCGCTTTGGTCCGGCGGGATGTTTTATGACACAAACTTGGCGGACACGGCCCGCTCGCACGGTACATTTGAGTCGTGGTTCTGCGCAGGAGTCGGCTGCCGCCCAGGGACTGCCAGATGTCACGCAACATTTGTGGCCGCTAAAGTAAACCGACGGCTAAATAAAGTCGAGGATGACGGGGTAAATTTAGCACACGCCTGGCGCTGGCTCGTTCTGGAGCCTGTCATTCTTGGCTAGTGGTGTGGCGTGCCCGTCATTAGGTGGTCAACGGTCACTCTGCAGGGTGACCTAACCGAGTCCGGCCGCCTGCCCACGCGGCCCCAGCGGGGCGCAGGGGCGGAGGGTGTCGGGGCCGATCGAGGTGCCGGCCCCGCCCTCGGCTCCAATCAGAGCGGGGTGCCCGCCCACTGACCGGTCACAGAGCGGGGCGCGGCGCGTCGGCTCTGATCGTTCTCCGCCCACGCCACCTCCGGCAGATCAAACGGCATCGAACACGCAGCGCGCCGCTGCCCGACCTGACCTACATGCAACGAAAATAGAGCGTGCCACAACAAAGCCGCGCCGACGCGCCGCTCTTCGTGACCTTGCAAGTGCGCAAGGACGACAGCGCCAAGGTCTGGAGTTTTCGGGCGTGGCGCCGCCCTGCCCGCAGGCTCGCCGACGGTGGTATCAGAGTTCTCCATCACATGAAGCGAGCCGGCCGACAGGGCACACCGAACCGACACGGACCGGCCGACGAGCGAGCTCGCTGCGGCAATATTACCACCGCGACGCTATCGCTGCGCACACACAGACACGCGGCCCACACCTGGCAGACACGCGGCACACATGTGACTTACGCCGACGGGAGACTATGCCCCCCCCGAAGGCGTGACAGGCTGATATTTACCTGTACGTCGGCAGAACGGACAGCCCCGGTCATAGCGCGTCGGGGACTGCGACAACCGTTCGGCCACTAACCCAGCCTTGCGATCGATCGTGGGGCAGCCCCGCGAGCCGGGAGAGGCGGCTCGCGGCTCTGAAGGCCGGTGCATTATACGCTCAACTCTTCCGTTCGGCTCTCTCCGGCTCTCAGTCTCTTGTTGCTGTCCGATCCGCTGTCAGCCAGCACAAGGCGGACGGCGGGCTCTTAGAGCGCCTGTCACACCCGAGGTCAGGTGGAGAGGGACGGCAAATTAAGGAGCCTATCACAGGGCCGCAAACCAAGCCCTACCGGTCGCCGGGCCGGAGCCGCTCACCGATTGCGAATCAGCTGAAGTCAGCATGACGCTGCCTTCCTAGCTGCAGAGAGCAAGGTCATGACTTCCCCGAGGGGAACGGGCCCTGCTCTGTCTCGACATCAGCCAATCACCGGCCGCCTATCTCGAGCACGACACTGATGGAGTTAACGTCTCCGGCTCCACAACCTGTTGTGCCGAGTCACGCTCGGATAGTGGAGTACCTCACGAAACATCGCGCGCAGAACACAGCGTAGGCAGCGACGCGTAACTCACGGCTCTCTGCTATAGGGAGTAGGGCTTCGCTCGTTGCTACGTCAGCTCACCTTAGGGTAGTTGGGGTGTGCGTAGGCGTAGGTGACCCGATGACTCCAGTACTCGGTGAGACCGTGCTCCCGAGTGGTGGCCTTCAGACCGGAGACCGCGATGGTGACACGCATCTCGATGTCGGGTTTGGTTGACTGGCAGTAGTTTCGCCACAGCGTGGCCAGAGGCTTGTCAACGCTGCCACTGCCTGCAACACAAGGCACAACAATGAGCGTCAGCTGGTGGACGGCGAAAGGAGTCTCCATAGTAGATTACAGAGGTTTTGACACGCGCGTAACAAAGCGAGTTGCGTTTGCATAGTTATTTTGTTAGTAGTAGCGGGGAGCCAGTAGGTAAACTAAAGGTTAGCAGCAGAGGGTGGCTCATCTCGCCGTCTGGGCTCGACATTAGAGTCGTGGCAAAAACTTGGAATTAGCGACGGGATAATCCGGCGTCACTTCCGCGCCATTCGCGGAAGTACACCGGTGTGCCTTGGAGCACATCACGCCATACGGGGAGCTGGCCTTGAGCCGACGGGTGCTCGAGAACACTTCTTGGACACCTCCGCGGGCCGTCCCAGGACCACCTTCCGCATCTCGGCGCACTTCCCAGGCAGTGACCTCTGTCTCGGGGTGCGTCGCGCCAGACGGGAAGGCGTGGGTGGCGTGTGAGGCGCGGCGGGTGAGGCCGGTCGCGTGCCTGGCTCACACCCCGCGGTGGTGACAAACACAGCGAGGTGACACGCGGCGGGAAGTAGGCACACCAGGAAGTGAGACGTGGGAACTGGCTCCTGGCTGCCCACGCCCAGACTCTCCAGGGCAACGTTCGTCAGTTGACCGAACACCTGGCCGCTATGTGCGCTTTTGGGACTTGCTGAATAAATTTATAGACGCCCGAGGTCGCTTAGCACCGAGGCAGATGAGTGTCGTGGGGCGGCTGCTGCTGATATTAACACACATGAATGACAATGGCGCTCGCGGGACGTGTTTCCCACTATGTGATGGATGAGATCATCGAAGCGAGCGGACAGCTGGGCAGCTGCGCGGGCCTGTCGGATCTCATCTGAGCCGTCATTGGACAATGGGATAAGCTCGCCTGAAATGTTCAGCAGGACGTACGCACCGAGACATGATTTATCTCTGTCAGAGAATATGGACAGAAAGTTTCAGAGAACCGAGTCTCGTGCCGTGGAAAATCAGATTACCGGCGACATTTCCCTAACATCATTGACATTCATGAACAGGATGTAAGAACAATCACGAAGTGCAATTATGCCGCCACGACACCCAATCTCCCACTGCATTTTAACTTCAGCCGCATACCAACGGTATTATGACCTATCTGCACAGTGGGCTTATCGCCAAAGTCCGGCGGCACGCCTCTTCACAACACCGCATACGGCGCGCTGCCGCCTGTCGGCCGTCTCTGCAGCGCTGCAGGCGGGTGCCCCTGCAATCGCAGCAGCAGAGACGTGCCCGGTTACTCGTCCGACTGCATTCTGCCGTCTTGTGCGGTGCGCGGCACGGTGACCGATTGGACGCCGGTGTCGGAGCCGGGCGAGAGACGGTCGATGTCGACCGGCGACAGTTCAGGGCGACGTACGGCCCTGTTGTCGCCGCCGGTCACGCCGAGGGTCGCGCGGCACGGCGCCGAGGCGTGCCACTGTCATCGGTTACCACACCGACAAACGGGGGCCGCGGTGAGGCAACACACCCCTGTGGCGGTGAGGCAAGGGGCGGATCGGTAAACACGCCGGTGTCACGAGTCCGAGCGGCAGCTGCCGTCCGGCCATTCACGAGAGGACGCAGACGACGGGCTCGTGAGTGTCGACAGAGTCGGCTTTGGTCACGAGCGTGACTCCAGGCTTAGCTCGGCGTGTGGCCATGGGCCGGCACAACCGCCGAGCAACGGCTAGTGGCGTGCGGGTCGATCGGACGGCCGATCCGTCACCCAGAGCCTCGGGTCAATAGGAGTTGCCAGTTTGGCTGTCAAATAAATTTGCCGAGACTGTGGGATACCGCGCCGCTTCGTGCCTGATGCGGCTGAAGAGGTACCCAGAGACAGTCTGCAATGTCTGCCTCCGGCTGGTTGCATGGTTCATCGATGGCCACTCTGAGGCCAAATCAATAGCGTTCAGGCTTCCTGTCTGGAATAGGTTAAGCCAGTCTGGATGAACCCAGCTGGTAGCTGTCATTGAGACTCAGAGGACCGCCCCGGGGCGCGGAGGCAGGTGGACATGAACCCTGCGCCTCTATTTGTAATTCAGGAGGATCACTTCCTGTTCAGATCGCGAGATAGCGGCACACATCGGGAAGTACTATCCGGGACTGGTTTCAGCCGCTGACCTTGCCAGAGCGGACATTTGACCGTCTCAGGACGACAGTCTGTTCCCATGAGCAGCTCAGAGGCACCGGTGCTAGCGAAAAAAAAAACGCCTCGCGTAGAGCTCATAAGTGTGTTTGTCCTCCCGACTACTTCAAGCAGTCGCCGGGAAGGAAAGTGAGCACCGGCTCACCTTGGCCTTGCGCGAACATGCCGAACTGACTGCCTTCCGCCTCTCGACTTCGAGGGGACGCGGAAAGTCGTTACGCACTCGGAAAGCGGGTCAGAACTGCGCAGCACCGCCGGTTCTCGTAGCAAATATTGCGCTCTCGCAGCCAACAATATTTAAACCATCAGTGCTGTTGCGAACCCACACTACTGCGTAGCCAGTGCTGTTTCCAAGGCCTAATCCGACGTACCACAGCCCGCTGAGTCTGGCCCTCGTGAGACCACAGGCCTGTATCTGCTCACATCTCCCCATGTTGACCGCCCGACTCACCACGGCACGGCACGGCTTCACGAGGCTGACGTCACGTCCGTTCTGCGAAGCCACATCGGTGACGCGAGCCTTACCTTTTCGGGAACACAACTCAACTCGCCCACCGCCCGACTGGTCAGCGAACTGAGCGTGCGTGGGACCGAATGACCGGCCGGGCAGCCAGGCGAATGTCCGAGCGAGCAAATTGAGCGATCCAGACGGCTTTGGGAAGCTCGGCGGCGTGGTGGGACGATAAAGAAGACTTGCGTCACCGAAAACCTGTTGTCGTGAGAGCGTGCTCTGATGGTCGGACGATACGACGGCAGCACCACGACAGGCTCGGGGGGACGAGCGGCCGCGCTGCAACATTGACATCCCGGAGAGCACTGCTACAGACCCAGGTGGCCTCTGTAGAATGGAGTACGGCCCGCTGAGTCCGTGCTGAGCAGATCATGTCCCATTCTGGGTCGATTCATGGATCACAGACAATCGACCGCATGAGACGATGAGTCAGTTCTGGTCAGCTGCGGGAGCGATTCATGCTTTGCAAACTAGATGAGTGCTCACTTTCCGACGTGAGTCATACCGTGCTTTTCTTTTGTTGGCTGCGTTCCGCTGTATATTACCATTTTACGTGTGAATCACTCGCCGCAAATGAAAGGCATGACTCAGGACATACAATATACATGTCTGATGTCCTTGTACACAGCTGACTAGTTTTCCCTCGTCAGCAACACCTATTGAATGGACTGCCAATGATGCATTGTATAAGCATGGCCTGTCCTTTATCAGTCCGTAAGTAAGTGTACAAATTGAACTAATGAACACCTGGCAACCGTTACCTACGATGGAACAGTCAGTCGTCTTGCGCACTCTGCAGCATTCCCGTTCAGGCCCCGCAAAACATATTTCGTTTGGCTTCGGGTAAGAAGTTTTGCCCGTCGCATCACCACCCTTTTCTCCATCCTTGTTCGATGTGATGTCCTCTAAAAGAACTCCCAGCGACCTCATTCGCTATGCTTCTCTCTGTTCCAAATCCTAACCACCACAGCAGTTGGTTCGCGGCTCCCGCACCAGTCTTCGGAGACCACCCCACCGCGGTCGCCTCCGCCACCCGGCCGTCCCTCTGCACACGGTGCATCCCCCACCTGGCCCGGTGCATCGTCTGCACCGTGCACACGATGCACACGGTGTGCACATGACAGGCGGCAGCCGAGCGGACCCGCCTGGGGCGGACGCCAGCCGGCGTTATACGACCGGCCCTAGCGTCTCTCTCTGCCCGGCCTCCGCGGACCAGCTCGCCCATCCTGTCCTGATCACCAGGCGGCCGATTTACGGCCCAACAACTCGTACAAGCGCCGGACAGACAGCCCGAGGGCGGGAGAGTGCCAGGCACACGACGATCCGCCTCGATGCGCCTTGACCCAGCACTCGCCCAGCTTGCACAAAAACGTCGCACCTAAGGCTTGAGCGATGTCCATATAGATCGATGTGGCGTGTTGCTTTTGGGCGGTGAACAATACAAGGGGAAAACTGGTGCAGAGGGTACCGAGTCGGCCATATAAAGGCGAACACGTGACGAGTCGATGGAGTCCTCAGAATTCGAGTGTCACATGTGCTGCTGCGAGTGATATGACAAAGCCCACATTCCAGGGCAAAGAATTGCCACAAACGAGCGGCCGTGGTCGATGTAAGGCACTGCGCGCGATGACAACGGGAGCCACAAAGAACTGACCTCACGAAACGTTGATACAAGTTTCCTGCGATTTGTTGGAATGCCCAGTTCAAAAAAGATTTGCGGTTCAGCCATACCATCAGCCAACATTGTCTATAGGCCACTTTCACCTTGTGCACGTCGGTGGTCAGCTTTAGCATCAGGAGCAGTGTAACGTGTCACTTTCCAAACAACCGCATGCGATCCGCGTTCCAATTATGCTGGCGAGAAAATGGCGCCTCATAACTACCATAACTATCCCAGCATGAGGCTGCCCAAGGTTATTACAAGGTTGAGGGTTCGCGTTATGTAACTTACAAAACCTCATGGTATGTGCTATTGTCTTTTCAGAAGCCACGCCCAATCGAATTAAAGGAAAGAGAGTGGTTAGCCTCCACTTGTCTTCTTCCTACTCTACCACACTTTCCAATCCTATGATCAGGTACTACTTACTGGAGCTAGTTTCTAAACCGGGTGATGTGCGGTCGCCTCTCGGCTTACCTTTGGCCCACTGGGTGACGGTATTGCCCAGGTAGACGGTCTTAAAGGTGGGGTCCTCCTCGGTAATGTCCACCGAGTTCTTCTTCCAGCGGCGCGTCAGGCGTGACATGAAGGAGCTGGCCATCTCGGATCGGGATGTCAGTCCGAAGACGCCAACGATCGAAATCCACTCGCTGTCTTTGCAGACGCGTTCACAATTCCTTCGCTTCACTGACGCTGGTTTTCTCACTGCGTCGCTCCGAGTTCGTCCCGAGAACTTCGCCTCACTATCGTCTCTCGTCGCTTTCGCTGCTCGCTCGGAGCTCTCGACCGGCGCCGGTGGTCGTGGCGCAGTAACTGCCGACGGCCGGCGCGCCGCCCGCCTACCTGGCCGAGCGGACCAGCAGCGCCGCAGCAGTGACGTCACACCGCCGCCCACTTCAGACCGGTGACGTCACACAGAGTGTCGCGGCTGGACGGACGGCGGCTCGAGATTCGGCTGTCCTTCCAGAGACTACGCTGTTACCTAATCTCACCAGCTGACAGCGGAGAGTTCTGCGGAGAAAAGACAGACGGTCAGACGGGCAGCGGTAAAGGACGGTGGAGATTTTGGCTGGTGGACCAAGTTTCAGACCATATCCCTTAGAATCCAGACCAGGTGCTTATTGGACCTTTCACGAAGCCCAGCTGCTAGAAGGGTTTATTGACTTGCTCTAGTGGGCGGCGGTTTTTGACATATACAAGAAATGCGTCGGGCAATCACGCCAGCTCGGTTTCCATGGAGGGTAGAAGCAAGTCCCCGAACTCAACTCCACTGATGGCGACGTGCCGGTCCAATCCGGTCCTGTCTCAGCAGGAAGGTCCGGCGTCAATGATGGGAAAATGACAGCACGAATCACCTGACAAAGCCGCCGGAAGCCGCCGTCACGATCACGGTGACCGCCCAAGGTGGTCGGTGTCCGGGCCCGGGCCGACTGGGCAGAGGAAAACTGACAGCCGTCGAGCTGCCCACGGCCCACGCGAATCTATCGCGCACGTCCGCCTCCCTGTGCGTTATGGAGGAAACCGCCAGAAAACGGTTTGGCGATGGGCGAAAAATGGCGCGAAGACTGCTTGTAACAGGACACTGACTCATACAGGAGTGGCGGTCTGCGAGGGCAGTTAATTGACTATCGCTTGCTGAAATCAGTGAAAATAATATTGTGCGGTCGCCGTTGCTTTAGGAACCGTTGCTCGACATGCACGCATAATTCAGTTGTATGCCGAAAGCTAGAAAAGTCGTGTTTTTGATGATCCGCTTTATGGCTTCATCCGACTGATGCAAATAAGCGTGAATCGCGACCAAGTGGGGTGACACGTGGCTCTTGTCTCGCAACGATAAACAATCTTTATCGTCACACACCCTCGCTCATTCTCCAGAACTTCGTCTAACAATAGCGCCACGGCAGCAGCACAATAGGCTTTCGTTAACGTCCAACTGTCCAGACATCAGAAAGCATTCCCATAGCGCTCAACTTTCGGATGGTTTCACTCAGATTGTGAATGCTGTTTACAGTCCAAAAAGCCGGGAATGCTGCCGCTATATCTGGAGCATTCAACCACCCGTGGAATGCACCACCAGTTTCCCATTGCAAAACCCGAGAGCTCCCCTAATCGTGGTCGGCGGTGAGTCTAGGTAAAAACAGCAAACCACCAGGGTTGCTACAGTTGTTGCATCCCTCCAAACCGATGCTCGTCATGAGATTTTAAAATTGTGCCTCTGGAGATATCTGCGTTGCGTAATCAAGGGGATGGCTGGGATGCTCCCACGGGCTCATAAGTTGGCATGATCCATTGCTGCATTGCAATGGACGAGTTTAAATTGGACTCTGGGTTCACTGAAAGACGACGGACCCACCATGCTCAGCCCAGAAACGGATGACGGATGTAGGAAAACTGAGTCATCGTGACTTTCGCCTGTACCTATAACTGCTTGAGACGAAAAAGAAATATGAATTGGTTGAAATCAGTATAATATTGCATCCCTGATCAATAAGTTTCTCCCCAAAAATGCCCTTTATCAACCTTTGCTATAGGCTTCTCGAACAGTTGGAGTGTGATGACTTACGAGCATCTTAGCTGTCAAGTAACGTGTAAGTTGAGCGTGGTCTGATTAATCCCATTAACCACCTACTTCGTCACGCAATGACAGCCAAGAAAGCTGCCGTGGCCATAATTGGCTACATACTACATAGTCACCGGACCTTGGTCCCCACACCTTTATCCAACTGACAGGTGATGCAGCACAGTGAATGCCTGACAGTTTTGTCCTTCGCATTTCAGTCCATCTGGGCGATATAGTGGCGACCCTAGCTTGCTACCTCACTGTCGGGCGGGGCAGGCGAGCTGTCGGAATAACTCTCATACTTACCCGCTTTCTTTCAACTAGGTGGAGCTGTTGGGGGCAAGGGTTACGGATCTTTACGGCGGCTGATTGTCACAGCATTTCACCTGTAGGTACAGCCCTCTGCAAACTGCGTGGTAGGTATTCTTTTTCGACAAAACCGAGAATAACGCGAATACTATGCTAACGGTCACTCGGACATCGTAACAGCAAGACGCACGAGACTCTGCACCTTAGATTGGGCTTATTTTGGTAAACATTTTCCATCTAGTTTGGCAACAACACACAAATGTTTATATCCGCCCCCAAAACGAACTTTTGCATTTTGTTGCTACACCAGGCGTACTGTCCGTTTCCTCGCTCGGCAGGCTAGTTCAGCTCCTCACTCATTTATTCCCTGATCACCCACACAGCGGGGAAGGGACGGGACGGGACGCCACGCCGCCCGGGGGTTCCTTTCGCGGCGTCAGGGACCAAGGCCATCCCATCTACCTGCTTGGGGCCGACCTCCACACGCGGAGGGTGATCCATCTCCGGGACCGGCAGCGTAACTGCTCTGTTTGTCGGCCGGTTCTGGGGAGCGGTGACACGATGTGGCGACCGAGACGGGCCCTCAGAGTCCACAGAGGGCCGGCCGTCCAGCCGTTTACATAGTCTCCCACAGTCCGAGCTGGTAAGCTACCCATCCGTTTAGCAGCTCACGAAGGGCCACCCGAGTCACCCATCCGTTCACACCTCTGACTAGGCGTCACGAGCCGAGCGCGGCGCTCGCACCGGCGACTGGAGAGTGGAAGATTGAGGCTAACCGTGGAATCTCGTCCCACTGGCCGCAGAGTCACACGGCCTCTGTCGCCAGCTGAGTCTGCCTTCGCTGGCGGACAAAGTGCCGCGGCATTGACAATCGTGGCGTAGATCTCTCGTGTGTCACAGTTCACACGGCTGCTTAGCGCCGAACACCTACGCAGCTTTGCAGAGAGTAGAAGTTGGTGCCGGTTTTCCGTGAATGAGGTGAATCAGTGGCAAATGAATCGGGTTGTTAATCAGCTAAGAGGGTTGAGGTCAGGGTATTTAGTGTCGTAAAATAATGTGCGATTGACGTACCACCTAGGAACATATGCAGTTTTCCTTGTTCGTCGCTTGTTTCTTTGCCGTTGATGGATATGGCTGTACCCTTTCACCCTGTCATTTCCAATTCAAAGGAGGAAAGGAAATGTGACCGACTGAGGGACACTACGAACGTCATTCACCGCAGAAAGTTTGCAGACAGCAGAAAGATGTTATAGTCTTTCTGGGAAGAAGAGAAAGAGGCGCCTTCCGCCTTGGAGGAAACCACATCATTGTCAAGAGGAAGCTGCAAAGACCTATTCGACCTTTGACGCGGAAGTACCCGTATATAAGAAGGATGTTGACAAGCTGTTCCTCCTGCAGCGACGCGAGACGTAGCAAAGATGTTTGACAATGTCCGTTAATAGTCACATGTGCTAAGGGCGTAACTGCAAGATTCGAATTTATTTAGTGCGTTTTAGCGTATAATCGACTGAGTCGATTCAACGTGTTAAACCGTTTGAAGTGCAGCCGTCCACGGCAAAAGGAACCCTGGATGCTTTATAACAGAATCACGACCTTGTCGCAAATTCGATGGCCTTCAAATCTGCCTCTTTAGATCTCCACTTTGGTTCCGACCTCCCACGATACTGGAATAATCCGGCCTGTCATCCTTCCTCATCATACCATTCAAAGTCGTCACGCGCTCACATCTTTATCCTTCCTCACGGCAAAAGATGACGCAGTCGTCGTGTTCCGTCAAATCCAGTTCTATCCGGAAATTTCGTGCATTATTCCGCTTGATCGAGTGCGTCTGTTTACACACAGACAGACGCAGGCGACCACGCACTTTCGCTCGATTGCGTCACAATGTGCGTACGTGCATTGAAGGACAAGGCAGGGGGGGGGGACTAACGCGCCTGGGTCCAGAGCGAGAGCTTAGAACCAGACTGCGTAACCGCCATATCTGTCGACAAGTTTGACGCTCAGCTGCGCTAAGCAGAGTGCTCAGCCCGCTGATGACCGGCCTGTGTGACAATCCGTCAGTGACGTCAGCAGCCATCGGCCGTGCCGTCATCTGTGCGCAGATCGGCGGGCGGCTGGTTGGGTGGCATTGGCCGCTCGGCGGGGAGTCGGTTGGAGCCGCTTGGAACCACCGCTGGCGGTGGGCCGGTGAGTCGCGTGCGGCCCAGATACGCCTCGGGGCTGACCGGACCGGCCTGGCCCGCGGCACGGGACCGGCCGGCCGGCCGGCGGGGGCGTGGCCGCCGCTCGGTAAACGCCGGAACACTGGCCCCGATTCAGAGACAAGTGGCGCACGGCGGCGGCGTGTGGCGCGCCTAATTGGCCGCCTGGGCGCCACGAATGCCGCTCCGACGCCCGGCTCACTGCCCGTCGCCCAGCCGTCTGACCGATCGGCGAGATCTCATCTGTAATTCTTGATATTCTTATCCCATAACAGGATATTATATTGTAATTCGTAGCATTGTCACTGGAAAAGCAGTCTATAGGAATTGAAATGCCAGTTGCATTTTTACACGTAGGTATGCAGCTCATTCTGTTATTAACATCAAATGTATTTATGCCCCTGAATGCCATTATTTCTGGGCGCAAGGTATGTGGTGTTTTGTTACTTAATCCTCGCCAACAACCAGTGCGCTCATAACCTAGGAGTGTCATAGTTACGATTGTTTTCCACAGTTCGGATTCAAATAAGTTGATACCTTGTACCGTTTCCTCGGTGGTATAAGGCCAATTGGTGCTCTGAGCCGTATCCAAGGTAATGGCCTAATGGCCTCACCAGCGGCGGCGAAGGCGTCTGAACCGGCGCGCGCCTCAGCCAGCCTCCGTCGGGGCGTTTCCCACAGTCACGGTGGTTTTGGGACGACCGGGCCCAACCAGTGCCGCCGTCCCATCGCAGCAGCAACGGCCCAGTCGGCTCTGCTCGGCGGCTCAGTGAGCGGTCCTAACGGGAAGACACGCCTGGCGAACGGGCGCCGAGAGCTGTGGTGAGGCCCGGGCCCGCGCCAGGAAACTGACGTGCGGGCATGCAGGGGCAGATGGATCGTCCATCCTCTGTCTTTTTGGTGGTCTTTTGGATACATTGCTCGCCTCAGGTTATCCCCTTCCTTGGTGACTGCTAGCAGCACGTCGCTAGTGCCATGACACTGCCACGCTGTCAGGGCTATAGGCCATGTGACGGCACGGCGGCGTTTTGATGCTTCCCAGCGCCTGCTATTTGAGTATAAACTATATAAACCACCTGTCGACGCCACAGACCAGCTGGAATGGCCAGCGGGACTGCCAGACTGCCCCAGACCAACCCAGAGGCCTCCAGGCTGGACGTGACGTCACACCGGCTCGTGACGCGCCATGGTGACACGAGCCAGACGGCCGGCCCGCCGTCACGTCACGCGTCGCGCGGCGTGATGGCAGAGCTGTCGTGCGCACGTCACGCTGTGTCAGTATCTCGACGTGACGCGTTGCGTTATAGGTTGTTTGTGTTCGGGATAAGTGGGCGTGAATGGTCTGAATCACGCCGGCATTCACGGGACTCTGAATCACGGTGCTGTTTGTGCATTGCGTGTGGATGTAGTCGGGGAGGTTCGATCGCGAACGTGAGGCGGATAAGGACTATCCTCCGGGCATGTAGTCGATATGCTAATGACACTCCCGGTCTAATGGAAAGCTGACGGCAGTTTAGTTTCGACACATCAAACACCATCTGCGATGAAAACTTGAGACGGTACTTTTACAAAATACCGGACACTGGTTTCTCCTTCAGTGGGTTTTTACAGTCCGCCATTGGCTACAATGAATGGGACAAATTCTAACAACCACTTGATACGTTAGAACATTAAACCTGCCTTCCTCAAAGCTGTATTTCAGCATGTGTCCTGCTGGGATCCGGGATCCGGTATGCTCGCTCATGTCCGTGATGACGGTCAGGTCCGGCAAGAGGGGGGGGGGTCTCGAAGCGCACTGAAACTGGTTCTCATCTTAGAGCCAGTAACGCTTTCTCACGGCTGAGCTCCCTGTTCGGAGAGCTAATTCCGCCCTAAATGGCACTCTTGACTGGAATCCAGGGTATCTTTCGAGGTTATCATCCGCACCGTTCACGTTAGCAGCTTTTCACTCGTTGTCTGCTTCTTATGTCGGCTTTTATAATGAAACGGATCAATCATCAGGTTGATGTGATCGATCAAGCTATGCGATTTAGTGATCATACGAAATATATCGCAGTCATATAATTCGTACTATATTACCATACACATGATTCATTCGAACGTTGCTGCTGCTTTATATGCTGTATTGCGATTGTAATTGTTTCTGCGTGAGAATCAGACCTAAAATTATTCGAAAATCAGTAATGAGCCGCCGTTCTCCTGACACAGTCCTGCCTCGGGTTTTGGGAAACCCACGCCGGCCGCCGAGGAGCCGGACCCAATCGAGTGCTGCGCATTATCCCAGCTCGGGGCCCGTCCCCTCATTCAGCGGTGTCGCTCCGACCCTGAGAGCGCCCAGTGACGGCCAGCGAACCGAAACTCCCAGTGAGTTCTCTAATCTCTCCCTGCCAGCCCACCAGCGGTGCTCCGAAATGGCTGACCGCCTCCGGCGCACAGCAACGTCCCATCGAGAGCACCGCTCTGAGCCCGCGCAGTAGGTACGGCCGGCCGCGACCTCGCCACGCCAGGAACCCTAAACGTGCCGTGCTGTGGCCTCATTGGAGAGCGAGAACGCCAGAGAAGGACGACGGAGACTGCCGCGCCGGTCTCAGAGTCGCCTGGCAACGGTCGTCAGAGACGGCACGCTGTGACATTACCGGCGCTGGAAAGGTTCGCCGAAAACCCGCCAGGCCTAGCACAGGTACCGAACACCAGTGCAGCCAGCTCGTGGGCACGCCGAACACCACCTACGCACCAACTCTCGGCTCCCCCCCCCCCCCGGGCCCCGGACCGTAAACCGACTCGGAAACAGCGAGCTGCACGCAACTCGTGACGAATTGAGCAGCCGATCCTCCGAAATGAACGTAAAAAGGTATTCCAGTCGCAGTTTGGTGAGATATAAACCTCGAAGTATTGCGATATTTAACCTTGTCTTGGTCAATTGCTAGCGGTTATCAGTGACCGGAGGTGTGGTTTTGTGACTTGCTGGATATTTATCGTTCTCGTATGGTACTAAACCCTTCCGTTCTCATGGTTTAGATCTATTCATTGAATTTTTAGCTAGCCCGGGCGATAGACATAAATAACACTGGCTAATGGCCATCGAAGCGAAATTAAGCCTCTTGGCCATGTAAGAAAATAGTTGTCCTGTGTGAATGTGTGATAGCGTTGAAGACCATCATTTCCAATTATTGTTTAAAATTAATGTTATCTTCAGTGCGTGCGACTAACGTGCTTTAAACGTGTCTCTTTGGGAGGCCACAAAGTTGCACGAGAATTGCGAAACTTTTAGAGAACCCAAAAAAATGAACTTCGATTTTGGGTCCTCAAACCTGATAACGATAGGATGTAACGGTGACCGGGAAATAGCGCAATGTCAACTGTAGGGCACAGCATTTCTGGTCACGTTGTACCCATCCCTGGCTGTTGCTGAGTTCATAGGACAGCCCGCAATGCATTGCAACATTCCCCCTCGCTCTTTCTTGAGGCCGACGACGTTTTATGTTTACGGTATCATTAGGTATTAGGAAAGGAAAACGGAACAGTCCAACAATTAGGAGACTGTCTGTCGAAACCACATACAAAGAACATCGTGTTTTACGCACGACTGCGTACATTTTGCCTAGGAACGGCCCATGTGTTTCCATTGTCATTCACGCAATATTTTGTTGTACTCTTCTTTAAAACAGCGTTTTACAAGGAAACATGAACACATCACCAAATAGCTTTGGCGGCAAGTCGGCAACGGAGGAAGAATAAAAGATAATTATAGTTCAATCAAACCACCGACGCGACAGGACCCTCCACATTCTCGTCATTATCAATAATACAACACCACAAAATTTTCCTACACCTATCCCGGATGCAAAACATGCGTTAAATTTAGTGCCTCACTATCGCCTCTTCCGTCAGCCGGGCCCGGTCCCGAACTCTGGACCCTTTAGTCCGGATACCCCGGGGTTAGAGAGTCGTGGGGAGCTCCCACGACCTTGGCCCTGCTGGGGACCGCAGACCGGCAACATGGTCCGAACCCCGTGACCTGACCATCGCTGCAGGACTGGACGTGAGGGAACCGAGGGTGACCCTAGGAAAGGATGGGTGCCGTGAGGCGTTGGGGTGAAGGACAAGAAAAACGTGTCCAGCAAGCATGACAACGGTATGGAAAACCGAATAAATTAACTTGAAGCTCTTCGCATTGTCATTCAGGACCGGACAGAAGTGGTCAGGTCGCTAATTGGAAAGCCAGTTTCATGAGCATTGGGCATTGTGTTTTCCCGTTTGTTTGAAAGGAGGCCACAGACGTCGCTTTTTCACCGGACCCTGTTTGCCCGGGCGCGATGACCTTTCAGAGGAGGTGGGTGCGCAATTAGTGGCGGACTTTCCGGGTGATGTATTAACATCATGAATGGCTGTGGTGCCAACTGGGTGCGGCACAATTCGCCACAGGGAAGAACAAGGTAAAACGAGCAGCAGTGTGATCATCTAACGCCTTGCCGACAGCTGTGAGCGGTTGTGAAAGAATAATTGTAATGAGCTGATGGCATTAATTAACGCTAGTTCACTTCCTGCGGAGCTGAAGTCTAACGGATCTGGTAAGTGGGGGATGCCGGTGGAACGGCCCAAGGCTGATGCAATCTCGCTCCATAATCCACATTTACACTTGCGTGCCCGCGGGCTACACTGGGTTTTCCAGAAGTCTGTCGATGTATTCAAACATTGGCAAACTCTCATCCCAGTTTGATCCATTTTCCAGCTGGCAATACAGAAGGTTCTGGTGTGGCGAAACCCGCCGTGCGCCGCTCACTCACCTGGTGTGGGGCCGAGTTGCGGCGCCCCGCGGGTCTCTATACAGGTCTCTGGTCGGCGGTGGCTCCCCTCTGCCAGTCCCGCCGCTCTCCTCTCTCCGTCTCCTTCGATGTTTCGTTTGCGACTGCCTCCTCAGTCCCCCGCGGTGCCCTCCACACATGGCCGGCCGGCCCGCGTCCCCGGTGTACTTACCGGAGGCAAGCGCCCTGCCCAGTGAGTCCCGGTACCTCCAGCCGGAGATACTGCAAACCGTTCGCCGAACACGACCTGCTCGTGACCTGAACGGACCCCCTATGACGTCACACGAGATGGCTGCCGTGAAGCCGGCAGCGATTCCCGCGTGAGATGGTCACGATTCGACAAGGTTGCAGCCTCCGAATCTCTCCGGAACGCCGCGCCGCGAGAGGCGCGGCTTCTTCGCAGAGGAGCAGCCTCGGGTCAGAAATCACGTGCTCTCAGCCGGTGTAGAGTGTCAGAATTAGGCTGCCGGTCACGACCGGTGGGCTCCGAAACAGCTGGCGGCTGCAGCCGTTCCAAGGTGAGCGGGGCGGCGCACCCTGGACCCTCCGTCCTGCCGAGTCACCGCGCGCTACGAGCGGCGCCGGGCGCCGGCGCGGCCGTGGACAGACCACAGGCACTCGTGTTTAGTTTGTAAGGCGACCGGGTGGCCTGCCCAAAATCCCCACCGTCGCTAGTTTGATTATAACAACTGAGCGCTGGAGGTCATTGGAAAGCCCCTTCTATAGCAACGAACCAGCCGAGATGTCAGCGCCGTAAACACAGTCGGTCGTGCCATCGTTGAATGGAGATAATTATAAACACAGCACGCCGGCTCACTTAGCGGAATTACCATCTCGAAACTCACACGGCATGTTCTCGCGGGCTGCCCGAGGACCCACCGTTCCCACGGGCCGTGTCGACCGCATGTCAGGACACCGCACAGTGGGGATTTTTCCGATCTAGCACGTATTTATTCGTAGAGGGCAAACCATAGGTAGAATTGTAGCCAGATTGTGCACAGATGTTGGCTGGTGTGTCCTGGTGAGAATTTTACCTGTAAATGTGCATAATCAACATAGTATAGGGGGTTCAATTGGACCCCCCGCTCAGCCGTTTGGCCCCTGATCAAGCTAGAGCTTCGCGGAAAAGTCAAGCGTGCTGCCTATGACGAAATTAGGCCGAATATATCCAATTTCAAAATCCAAGGTCATAAGCTGACTTTCCAAGTCAGTTTAATGACCCAACTAAAGTTGGGAAATCGAGACCTCTTGAAACTTCGCAAAGTTAGGGTGTTACGGGGTATTTTGGGGTGCTGATCACGAATTTCATGTTAGTTTTGATCACAGACGATGTCTTTATGCATTTAGGCCAGGTCGGGTCAGGTCACGTTAGATCAATTCGTAGGCGTCCTGCCGGCCATCCATAGAAGTGTCACCTACTACTGATAGCTTCGTAACATGGAACGAAGGCACTAGAACTACTTCGTAAATATTCAAATGGCTGCTAAAATCGAAATCAGCACCAAATACTACCCTAGAAACAAGTAAAACTCGAAAAAGTGAACCAAGGTCATCAAAAGGTCAATGACCTTGACTTGACCTTCACGTGACCTTGACTCCCACCATTATGCATGGCACCAACATCATTTCACATATTTGAACGTTTAAAACCACAAAAAGACTGGAAACCGCGGATAATGTGAGCTGGCATACGCCGAATCGCGATTCCGGCCAAACATGGTCTCGAGAAATATGCCACAGGTCAAAGGTCAGTTGGGTCCAGAGTCATGAAATATTTAGGTTAGATGTAAAATTGATGATCTCGAGGGTACCGAAAGTTTCGGCGCGATCGGCCGCTTTTTGCGCGAGTAATTTGCGGAAAACCATGGGGCTTTATCCGACCCCTTCCCCTCCCCCTCCCCACAAGTGCGATGGTTAATAAGGTTACGGTATGTGTAATTTACGCTTGTCATCCTATTCCCAATGAATGTGTCTCAGAAAATATGCATCATATAAATCACGAAGTAAAATTATTCGCCTATGTCCGGAACATACCTATATCGTGCTGTTTGCCCTAGCGCTCCTCGAGTGGGGTGTTAAGATACTCTAATGTGAATATTCCGTGTTCAGGCAAGTTTCGGCAGCCAAACTAGGCGTTGTCTTGTGCAGAAGAAAGTGGCGAATTCGATAGGATATATTTCGGAGTGGAAAAGTGTGGAGAACATTGTTGATTTCCTACATTTATTTAGAATACCATTCCTTCAATATGGTGTCTGTAAGGGTTTTTTGTAAAGGGAATTTTTGTGACTTTAGTAAGGTTGTGGCATACCTTCTATTTGCCATTCCATTCCTAATAAAGGTGCCTTTCAGACGATATGCAACTTTAAGACCTCGCAAGATTAAAACCAACAGGACAGGACAATGAAATTGAGCTATACTTTCGGGCCTTGCTGAGCCCATTGAGTAATCACGCATGAGTGTGAACTTCGGGCGCATTTTTCCTAGTTTTGCTGTGGACATACAGATAAAACAATGCCATATATGAAAAATTCAGACATTTCTTAGCCCTACTGACACAAAAAATAAACAAAAATCAAAAAAATATTTTTTGAATTAATAGCCGCTAGATCGGAAAAATCCCCACTGTGCACCGCCCCGGGCGACTCGACTGACCCGTCCATCCGTCAGCGGCCCGGTCAGCCGGATCGCTCCCGACCTCAGCGGAACCCCAAACACCGGATGGGACCACTTATCGGCGTGTCCTTCTCATATCCCTAACCACACCAGAGGCATTTCCGAGAGTGATTTCACCCTGGGCTGCGCGGGCGGCTAACGGCACCCCACTGTGGAAGCCCAAGGGTTTCAGTGACCCTCGGTGTCTGACCTAGGTCGAGGTCGCATACAGGGTCAGATTGTGGCCCTAGAATACTGGGAGGTGCTAGTAGCGTCGTTCAGAATTCCACAGATCGACAAACGACTTATATCGTCGATCGCTGACGGCTGAATGGACGATGATGGCATTTGACATGGCATGTTATTTGCAGGAAGCTCAGGTAAGTATAGCAGGCGCTGCAGACGCCACCAGTGTAACTTAGGATCGACATCACAAGCTAGGTATATGTGAATATATCAAACTGGGAATACCTAGCTTTGGTTTGGTTATATTTTTAGGAACTTACAGTAACATGCAGATGTATCTAGCAACATCCAGACATATAATGCTCGTAGGAGCGGGGAGAGGCATAGCCAAATCAGCCATGACCTTTCTTACGAACTGCTCATTTCAGTGGTCACTGGTCATTCTCACTCGGTTTGGTTCCAGTCGCTCATCCCCCTCTCCTCCATTCCTGGCGAGAAGTCAGAGTATCGTAAGTGCTCCACCGGCCGAGAGACCGTTGCGTGGTCCAGGCGTGCCGTTACGTCATACGTCTCTCTGAGCGGCTTTGAATACACGGCTCAGTGGCACTGGGGCCGCGCCACAGCCGTCGCCAGAACGCCAGAACCGCCGCCTCGCGCCGCCGCTCGCCACAGACGCGCCGCGCTGTGCCGGTTTGGAAACTGGCGCCGTGTTTCGTCAGCAGCTAGCCAAGCCGTGAATCTCCACATCTGATCTGGCTGCCCTGTGACCTGTCCCGTCGACACCGTGACCTTGACCCGGCTGGCACGGCACGCCGCCGGTGTAACTGTGCACGGGGCGTGATGTAACCGGGCCGGCGCGGCGGCAGCAGCGACCGCTGTCACGGGCCGCTCACCATGGATGGGGTCTCACAATCCGCCGGATCTGATAATTGGTGTCACTAATCACTCAGACAACTGGTGCATGCGACGTGTTTATTATTATGTTGTTGGTTTATTGAATGGAAAATTGGAAGGGAAAGTGTGATATTTGTTCCAGTTTATTCAAGCGTGTCATTAGTTTTACTTAGGACATGTTAGGTAAAGACAACTGGAAATCACAAAACCAAGCGATCTTCGTAAGCCTTTGGCAATTTTCAGGTTCATGTTATTTCATTCAAAATCCCACATTCGAGGTAAATAATGCCGCTGCTACATTTCTGGGTTGGACTGCTTAAAGGAAAGTAGTGATCAGTGCAAACATCAGCGGGGATCTGCGCCAAAATTACATATTACCAACTACCAAGCCTGGCCAGGCCAAGTGCCAACTTGGGCAAAACTTTCATAGGTGATGCTCCATATGAGCCCAGTAAGCCCCTTCGTAAGGAAAGCAGCCCTCACGCCGACTGGTGAACAAATAATTAATAAGATGAGTATTAGGGTGCAAATGCAATGTTCATTGGGCGCATGCCGCGAAAAAATATATATTAACATTTTCGGAAATGATGTAATTGCCAGACACCAGTAGTGGTTCTGTTGTTGCACAAACGTTTTCCCTTTTCCTTTATGTTTCATAAAAAAATGTTTGGAGAAGACGGGCTTCCCCTTTACGCGTCTCCAGGCGGACCTGAAACTAAACCATGACGGCTCCGAGCCCATCCCCCTCATCTGGTTGACTTCCCGGAGGGAATTGCGAGGCCACGCATCCATCTGTCCCAGTGTCTGCCGCCTTGGGGTTTTCCTCCTCCCCTCCCCCTATCAGAAACCCCCACTAATTACACATTGCCTCGTGCCGGGTAACCCCCCTCATGCGCGCTGCAGCAGGGGCTGTCATGTAACATGAAACAACACCCACAGAGTTGCAGATGTATCGCAACAGCCGACATGGTATGACGAGGTTATGGGATCGATTGCAAAGCCGTTGATGATAGGCTGTCTGATGTGTATTTAGCTCGGCCGGCTTCACATACCGATGCGGAGCAGACCACTGCATCCTTCATTCCCAAGTGATGGTCGATCCAGCACCAGACTTCTGCGTCTCAGTAATTCCTCTCAAGCAATCAACCGATCGACCGACCGGTCTCATGAGTCCTTATGACGGCGCTGGGCGTTATTGCCTCTCCGAAACCTCATTGCATCGACCGGAGTCGGAGACTCGTTTCATCAAGGGCGGTGTTAAGCAATCTCGGCGGGTACCTGTCCCTGCCCGGCACTGTCAACAGCCCGGGGCTAGGGTGCTCGTCCCAGTGGGCGGTATTCTGATTGCACAGGGAACTTGCGGTCAAGAGCGACGAGCGATGACCTCCAGCCTCTAAGCGGAGCTCTTAGCTCATCACTCGGCGTCCCATCGGTCTGTTATCCGTTTCCCGTTGCCCGTCAGC